TTTATTAAAAAAAATGCTGAGGGGCAAAAAGATCATGCATTCAGTAGCATGTCCCACTAACTTAAAGTACAACCAAAAAAGAAAAATCAATATACAGAAGCAAAAGAATAAATTTTCTTTTGAAAATTTTCATAAAAGAAAGAAGTCAAATCTGTAAATCATTCAGAGTAAATTATGTTTATAAACATACAAAAGACAGAATTCCTGCTTTTAGTGAATTTTAGAGGCTAAAAACACAAGCAAAGTATTTTTGGAAAGAATTATAGGTCATAAGATGTAGCAGATGCTTCATCAATAAGGAAGCTCTGTTTTCTCCTTACTAGAAAATTTTCAGATTTTCACATCGAAATAAGTATGATTTAGTGCTCCAAGGCAATGAAGAAACATATTCTCTTAAATATCCTTTGCTCCCATCTCTTCAATGTGTCCCATCTTCTGTAGGAGTCCTTAAAGTTTGGCCTTCTTACTGTCTTTCACATTGCTACTTGTGGAAAGCACACAACGGATGCTTCTAGGAGTACTCAAAGAGGGACTGGTGATATGACACTGTACCCAAAGACCTTCCAGAGGTGAAAAAGAGCTAAGCACCTAGTGGGCTTTGAATTATGTCTTGTGCTTTAGCTACAAAACTTCAACATGCTCAGATATTCATTAACTGCACTAATTCCAACTTGTGGACCTGGAAAGCAGAAGGTGGTGGAGAAGCAACGAAAGGAGCTAGCTGTGACACTGCCAAATGGATGCAGAATTGAGCAAACGGAAGAGCCAACACTTCCCGCACTTAATGTTTAGTGAGCCAGAGACATTTTGCCAATGCATAGCTTAGAATGAAATTTGCTTTTCAACTATGTTTTAAAAAGCGGGATTTCCTGGGGGTGTCTGTGTGGCTCAGTTGGTTAAGTGACCAACTTCAGCTCAGGTCATGATTTCCTGGTTTGTGAGTTCAATCCCTACATCGGGCTCTGTGCTGACAGCATGGAGCCTGGAGCCTGCTTCAGATTCTGTATCTGACCTTCCTCCACTCATGCTTCATTTGTCTCTCACAAAAATAAACGTTTTTAAAAAATGAAAAAGAAAATAAACCAGGGATTTCCCATACCCCTAATGGGCAGTAGAGACTATTCAGCCAGACCTGACTTAATCTTTGTCTTCATGCCACTGAGCTACAGCCCTACACCATTCACCTCTGCTGCACCCAGAGATTCGTCTAGCCCTAAAGAAAGTCAGCAATGTGCACAATTCCAGGGGGTACTGTTCACACACACTACAGCATGAATGGTGTGATGTGAAAGCTGTGCCACGTGAGGTTCTCCTGCCAGAGGGATGCTTGGGCTGCTGGGTTCTCTCATTCAGGCCAGAGACAAGGTAAGCAAACTTGCTACAGCCTGTAATGAGCTGTGAAAAATGGATAAGGAGACAACATTTTTTGAAAGATCAATGATGAATGTCATTGTGTAATGAACTATAGACACTGATGAAAAGTTTAATTTATTAATCCTTCAAAACCTAGTGGACTTTTTGAGTCATAACCCCACCCCGCTACTCTTTTGTCTCATTTCCCTCTGACTTTGCATATTCTCTTCCCCTGTCCCCAAAGCTTGTGCACACCTATCCATGTGTACCTTTCACTAGCACTCTAGATCTTCTCAGTTGTTCTCTTTAACCTTTCCTCTCACTCATACATTTATCTCTCTTTTCTGCTATTTTAAGCATTGCTAATGTGTCTCCTCTTCTCTACCTGTTTTTCCTTTCTGTGTCCCAGCAGGCACCATTCATTGCCATCTGCCTTTAACCATCTAGTGACCCTTTCCCCTATTTATTTCCTTCATCTCCTCTTATCAAAATCCAGTTTCTTCTATTTTTCTAGTTTTCTTTCTCCTTTCCTTTAACTGACCATAATGAGAAACCAAAGTACACGTGTTCAATGTCCTGTGGTCCCAGATTGATTTTTTTCTTCCATGCCTTTGGTCCTTGAGAATACACAAAATACAGTTGCGGATTCTAAAGTAAATCTCAATCCCCTTGATATTTAAAGCCAGCATTTTCATTGTACTTTGATATATTGCAACCTTACAAATATTTATAATATTTGCTAAGGAATATTATTGTAATATTTATTTCTTCTGAATTACTAACATCCAGGCTGTGTGATCCTTAAATTCAAATGTACAGGTCTTCCTCATTGATTTTATATTCTTTTAAAAAATGTTCAAAGATAATTCAAAATTCTTCTTAAACATTTGTCTATTTTCCTGTGGACTTTTTGCATACACAAAAATAAAGCCTATTTGCTGGCCTTATTCGGCCCAATTATTATACCTCCAATAACGTCTGTCTTTGGGCAGCAACAGCCTCATAATTTTGGAACACAAATAATGATTCACACAAGGCTAAGGAAGAAAATCACCCACATTACTTAGCACCTTCTTCAAGAAATTAAAAAATGAACCACAAAACAGATCAAAGGAAAGTAACAGATTCATAGACATAAGAACAAAAGTGTGTGAGTTAGAATTTAAAAGCTGGCTCACTAGAAAAATAATATAAAAAGAACATAACACTAAATTAAGAAGACCAAAAGGGACAAAACACAAATACACAAAATGAGAATTGGTTAAGGGATAAAATAACCACAGAAGCAGGAATCTTAATACACACCTTTGGTCAAATGTGGCCAAATAAATTCTGAAAAACAGGATTAAATACATAGTATTTGAACGAAGAATAATCTGCTAACATTGACTAAAGAAGAAAGATCTAAAGAGACTGAAATTCAGGACTGATCCTTCAGATACTTTATGGCATGGATCTCAAATATTAAGAACTGAATTTAGCTGTACCTGTACATGTGGCTGAATCAACTTTGCCAAGAGACCTATAAAATAGAAAACTTTGACCAAAATCTACTGTTAGAAGAGGCCTAAGATACTGAAGAAGGAATTCAACAAAACCTTGCAAGAGTAGCTAATTCCAAATTAGCTGAAAATCTTTAAAAATAGAAAAATAAAGAATTTAGTATTTAATAAGCATAACATTTAAAATCAGAATAAATGTTGAAAGGAAATAGATGACTCAATAAATATTGCTGAGACTACAGAGTAGCCATATGGATTGACAACTCACAAACAAAATTTTCAAATGGATCAACAATTAAAATGTTCAAAACAGGGGTGCATGGGTGTCTCAGTCAGTTAAGTGTCTAAGTCTTGATTTCAGCTCAGGTCATGATCTCATGGTTTGTGAGTTCAAGCCTCATGTCGGGCTCTGTGCTGATAGCATGGAGCCTGCTTGGAATTCTCTCTCTCCCTTTCTCTCTGTCCCTCTTCCTCTCTATTTTTTTTTTTCAGAGAAAAATAATCTTGAAAAAATTCTAAGAAAAGAGTCATTTAAAAAAATGTCCAAAAACATCTGTAAAAGTACCAGAAAACAATGTGATAACATTTCATCTTAAAATGAAAAAAGCATTCCTAAATAGATATACAATGAAAAATTGATAAATTGTATTACATAGAAAAATGACAATGGCAAAAAATTACTCTGAGAAAAATTTTAAAATAAATAAAAACTGTAGGGAAAAATAAACATTTGTAGCTCTTACCATAGACAAAGGGACACATGAATTAACAAATAGTTCTTGTGAAACAAAGTGAAAAAGATAGAAACTCGGTGGAAAATGGACAAAAGAAATAGTTAATTCCCATTTAAAGAAACAAAATATGAAATATGAAAGTTATTAAAATCACTCAGCTTACGAAAACAGTATTTAAATTAAAAAATTAAAGTTAAATCAAAAAATTAAAAAATAACTTAAAAATAAATTAAATTATATAAATTGAAAAAAAAGCATTAAGTTTCTTATGAAGTCTGTTGCTAGCTATCGGTTTTTATGTATCTTCTTTATAGTGTTGTAGTGGCTCCCATACACTTGTGGTTTCCTGTTTTATCCTGAATTCGTGTTGGATTTTGTCAAACCATAATTTAATGCTATTGTTCTATTTTCATTTTGACTTTGTTATTTTCTACTTGCATTAGTCTTAAACTGTTCTGCTCTACTTGTGTAAACATATAACATCATCTTTAGTTTATTGATGCAGTGTATTACACAATCTAAAAATGTTGAACCAGCCTTGTACACATGGAATAAATATAAACACCAAAAAAAAAACTTATTTAGAAATCATATTTCACTTTTCAGATTATCAAAACCCAAGTGTTTGTCAAACCCTCTGTTGGAAAGACTCCAGAGAAACGAGTACTCTCATATATTGCTGATGGGGATATAAATTTGTACAATTCCTCCAGAAGGCAATTAGGAGATATCTACCAAAATTATAAAGGCATATACCCTCTGACTCAGAAATCACACCTCCTAGAATTTATCGATGTTCATAAAAAGACATATGTGGAAGTTTCAATTCTGTGGTAGTCTATAGTGGCATAAAATATAAAACTACCCAGATGCCAACAGGAAATTGATTAAATAAACTGAAGGACATCCATACTAAGGAAAACATGGTAACAGATTAAAAAAATATATGTATTGAGAAATTTCCCTATGTACTGGAAGGAAAAAAAAATCCCTAAGAAATGAAATTAAATAAAAAAATGCCAAATGGTATATTTAGTATGCTTTCTTTTAACAATGCAGAGAAAATTTTAAGTAAATTATTTTGTTTTATTTTATAGATCTTTGAAGGATACACAAGCAATTAACTATAGGGAGAGATAGGGGTAAATGAGGCAAATGAAGATCAGTAGTGGGAGGGAGGTTTCACTGTATTAAAACACTGACTTATGTAATAATAGCTATTTTAAACATGAGGAAATAGTTCCTAAGAAGAGAGTACTTGCATATGCCAGAATACCTAGAAGTTGTTGGAGCCCAGAAAAAGAGAGAAGTGGAATTAAATAATGTGGCACATGATTATGTATAATCTATATGACTTTGAAGTACAGTATATCAGAAAAACAGGACTATTTTGAATAGTGCTTTACTTTACCTTAGAGTAACACGTACAACTCTTCTCTTCATGGAATCCTTTTTGTTCAGATATTTCATTTGATCCTGTTTTTTCAGTGGTTTTTTCAAAGGAAGGACATAGGCATCAGTGGAGGGGAAGAATAGTTTGGAAAGTGCAGTGGCAATTCTCCATCCTATGTATTTGGAGAAAATTTCATCCCCTACATTTGATGAGACTTTTGCACTATAATTAGTGAAGGGATCAGTTGGGTCATTTAACTCAGCCTGTGGAAAGAAAAGAAAAAGCAATCTGTTGAAATAGAATTAAATGAGAGGAAAAATGATGTATTATTAAATAAAAGATGCGTATATGTTTATTTTCTTTGACTAATGTCACATTCTTCCTATTAAATAAAAATAGCCTTTATAAGAATAAAAGCAGATTCTCAAAAGGTTTTTAAAATTATAACAGCTTTTAGTGAAATCAATTAAGCATGAACAAAACCAGTCTTAAAGTTTCAAAACTTGAATGATATAATTGTATTTTCAACTTGTACATTTCCCACACAAGAGTTTCACATTTATAATATTTATTAAGAAATTAAGCGGGGTGCCTGGGTGGCTCAGTCGGTTAAGCGTCCGACCTCAGCTCAGGTCATGATCTCACGGTTCATGGGTTCGAGCCCCGCATGGGAATCTGTGCTTATAGCTAGCTCAGAGCCTGGAGCCTGTTTCGGATTCTGTGTCTCCCTCTCTCTCTGACCCTGCCCTGTTCATGCTGTCTCTCAGAAATAAATAAAATATTTTTTTAAATTTTTTAAAAAAAAGAAGAAATTAAGCAATCTAGGGTGACTGAGTGTCTCAGATGGTTAAGCAACTAACTGGATTTCAGCTCAGGTCATGATCTCATGGTTGGGGAGTTTGAATCCCACATCAGGCTCTGTGCTGACAGGGTGGAACCTACTTGGGATTCTCTCTCTCCCCCTCTTTCTCTGCCCCTGCCCTGCTCTCAAAATAACTAAACATTTTTTTAAGGTAAGCAGTTGAAGTTTTATTAAATCAGAATTTCATTTGTACATAATCTAAACTTTCTTTGAAACTAACAGAAAATGTTTATTGAACAAAATTTGTGTTACAAACAAAAGGTCTTTGTATTTAGCTCATTTTGAAGATGTTCAAGGATTTAGATTTAAATTAAGTTTAGTAAGTTCTAATATTTAAAAAAGATCTAACACAAAAATTCCACAATATTTAAGCAATTTTTAGTCATGAAAGAACTATTTGCTCAAATTTCCAATTTATGTTCAATACTGTCTGTGACTGACTTTTATTACAACATCTCTTGAAATGGCTAGAGGCATATTTTCCTTAGCTAGAATTAGTAATAATAAATGAAGATGTAACTTTCAAAATCTCATGTGTTACTTTTTTTTAATGTTCACAATATGTTCATGTTAGGAATTCTTTCTTACAAATAAATTGGATGTCACCTCCTTTCATTAAAATTTTTATGTTTTTTATTCCATATTATCCATCTTCAGGCAGTTTACTACCAGTCACTCAGGATTCATTTTACATGGCTATTGGTACTGTTAGAAAATTAAGGAACAGAAAATATTTTTCTGCATATGAACATCTAACTTTAACCCTAAGATTCCAAGATCAGTTTGGCTCAATCACATTACTGTTTGAAGACTGCCTATTGCATTACTTAGACAAAATTATAGTGGGGGAAAAATGAGAACAATCTCATGGTAAAACTGAAAAACAAAGGGTTAAAGCAGTGAAGAAAATAGCAAAAGGCAAGAAATAAATAGGGATTCCTGTAAAAGCTCTGGAGAATGGTAAAGAGTAAAAATCAAAAGACATATGTTTATAGTATCCAGGGTGAACAAATAATTATATTCATACTACTCTCAGTTGTTGTAGATCTTGATTATTAACTAGGCTGAAATCGTAGAAGGAGCATCAGTTTGAAACAAGAAGTGACACTGTGTCTAGGACACTTCATAGCTTTCTGACTTTGAGGAAATTAATGTCTCAAAGACGACAGGTTCATCTGTTAAAAGCCAACTATAATACCACATTTTTTGAGCTATTTCCTTTTATTTACAGTTTGTGTCCAATACAAATCAATTCCATAACATGAGAAGTAATCATGAATAAAAGCCTAAGTACATAAACACAGCAATCAGGTATGAAACAAAATGTAATGTTCGGTCACACACTCAGTAGCTTGAGCTCTGTTGAATATAGGGTTCCAGGGTAGATTTCTCAAGATTAAAAAAAATTGACTTTAGCTATCAAGACTACTGTGGAGCTATTAGATATCGGAACATGTAAGCATTAGTGTGTGACCATGTGAGCAAAAGACTTTAAGGAATATCTATTTTTAAAAAGGTTTCTGTGCCTTGAGGCAGCTGTGAAAGATTTACTTTCCACAATTCAGCCCGCTTTAGGCTCAGGACCAGGTTTTAACTATCTAAAAATATTGACTGATAACACGAAGTGGTCCAAATGAGGCTGGTTCATAGAGTTTCTTTTACAAGTATGTACTAAGAGTACAAAAATTCTTATGAATTTACTGTAAGTAAGTTTCCAGTCTTCACTTTCCAAATACTTGATTTACAGTTTTGGTTCCTTCACATCTTTACCTTTTTAACTTCAAGACTTGTCAATTTTACCTTCAAAACAGATCATATTTTTTATTGTAAAAAGTATTCAACATATGCAGAAAGAAAAAGAAATTTGAAATTAGTTGAGGTCAATGTACTTTTTGGAATCATTTGAGTAAATGCACCTGGCACTTTTGTTGAATAGGAACAGGTGATAAATAAATATACAAGCAAAAATTACTCCTTATGCTTGGACTTGGGGTAGATTCAATCCATCATTGCCCTGGTACGTGTCAATTACTGTACTAAAAAGTCAAATGCAATGTCAAATCCAAAGCCTCAAAACAAAGTGTTCAGTTCTCAAGTGAACAGTGATAGTTTAACAATGTAAGCTTTATCTAGAGCACACTGGCCTTAAATTAGAACACCTGACACATATTAAGGAATTACAGTAACACCTGGAAGTATCTTCCAATATACATATAAAGAGAATCATAGTAGCTTTTTGTATTACCTATTTTATGGCCTCAATGAATCAAATGAAACCTGAAATCTCTTTTCCACATCTCATGCTTTATCTCTAGGTAAGATAAAATCTATTCTCATTTTCTTAGGTAGGTCTTTATGTATCTATATTTAAACAAAAAGTTTATTTTGAGAGAGAGAGAGAGAGAGAGAGAGAGAGCCTCAAGCAGGCTCCACACTGTCTGGAACTTATGAACCAAACCATGAGAACATGACCTGAAAAGAAAGCAAGTGTCTGGCACTTAACCAACTGAGCCACCCAGACACCCCAGTGTGTCGATACTTCTTAAACAACATTTAAGAAAATCATCTCTTCACTAATTTAGAATGCTGTTTCCTTTCATCTTATGCTTGACATCCAGCAAATTTAATACTGGGATTCATCATTTAGTCAAACGCTTGACATACTCTTCCAACCATTCAATTTTGGGATCGTTAACGTTTTCTGTGTCACTAAAATAAGATATGGAATTAGCAGATTCGTTGAAGACCTGTTTTTATCTGGGTTGGATCTAGAAAATGGGGAAGCACAGAAGACCTCCTTTATCAATCAGGAAAGCGTTCCAAAACCTTCGGCGGATCCCTGAAACCATGATAGTACTAAATCCTATGTATACTGAGTTTTTCCCTATACATACATACTTACACTAAAGATTAATTTATAAATTAGGCACATCAAGAGATTAACAACAATAAAATAGGACACTTATGACAACAATCTATAATAAAAGGTAAGTTAATGTGGTCTCTGTCTTCCAAGTATCGTATTATCTTGTACTCACCCTTCTTCCTATGATGATATAACATGTTAAAATGCCTGTGTGATGAGATGGGACATGAATGATGCAGGCGTTGTGACTTAGCATTAAGTTTACTACTAGATCTTTGGACACTTGGTCAGATGGATCGTCTGCTTCCTGACCATGGCTGACCACAGGTAACTAAAACCTTTGAAAGCAAAACTGCTGATAAAGGAGGACTACAGTATAAATGTTTCTTGGCTTGAGTCTCCTACGAGTAGATAGGAGAACGAAATCATGAAGAGACTGGCTACTGCGTGCAGAGCACTTAATTAAGGGACTAACTGTTGCCCGCAGAGCATTGCTACTTATCTTGGTGGTGGAATTAGCTAGATTTGAGGCAGCCAGGTTATTCTGGGAGGAGTTACACAAAAGCATTACAACAGCTGCTTGCTGCGAATAAATCTGCATGGGTGGGAGCAGCGCCAGAAACAGCAGCCCCAGTTTGAGCCTGGCTACCAAAGCTCTTCCCAGGTTCCCCTCTTACACCACGTGCTGCACGCCTCATCGGATACCAGGCGCATGAGAACCTCCAGCTGGGGTGGGCTCAGGCAAGGCGGTCAGTTACAATTCATTGTATTCTGCTTAATCTCCCTGGCTCAATTTTTTTTATAAGAAAAGTAACATCGAAATCAATAATAATAAGTAGTATTGTGTAACTATATTACTATGAGCTTTTCCATTACTAAGAGGGATGGATAAATAAATGTGTGAGTAAATGAATGAACCAACAAAAATAATTTTTAGTATTTTTCTGGTAAAACACATTGTTTCCAGATATAACATTATCCTGCATTACGGAATGTTGATGTTATTTTTCTATCATGTCTCATTTGACTACTCCTTGATTTCTCCCCTCCCAGAACAGGTCACTTGTAGATCCAGATGTTGTGCTTTCATGAAGCAAAATGAAGTCATGTCCACATCTCTCATATGGTTCACTGATTGAAAGCCTAGGTAAACTTCTCTCCCCCACTGACGTTCAAGGCATTCAACTAATGAAAATATAGTCTCAAATATCAGTCAAATGTCTATTTGCTTTATCTTTAAAAAGATTGTTTCTTTTCCTGCAGGAAGTACCAGGAAATAATAGGGGCTTCGCAATTAGATCTGAAGTCAGGCCTGACTTTTCCACTTGTTAAAGAATGCAAATGTTGGGAAATGTTACCCCTCTAGGACTCTGTGTTTAGTTCTGACTTGTTTTTCATATGTGATATGGAGATAATAGTAACTACTCTCTGAGTTTTGTGAGGGCTAACTTAGTAGGCAGTGGGAAATTCAACAAGTATTTGTTTCTTTTAGAATTCCCAGGGACAGAGCACTAAACCGCCAGCCTTTGCACTTC